GTGATCGTGGATTCCTCCCTATGCTTTGGCTCTTATCTGGTGCTTATTGTTGCCCCCCAGGTCGTTGGTGAACAGATGTGTGGCGGAGTCTAGTCGTTGGGGCTTCCACTGGTTCTTTACCTGGGTTTCTATGAGTGACAGCTTCTTCGCTCCTTTCTTCGCCTTCATCATCTTCGTTCAAATTGGTAAGAGGGCCAAAGCGGGTGTTGAACTTCTGGGGAACATGGCCACGGGAAGAACTTGGGTCTTGGTTTCTTTCTGTTGTGAATTGCTTCTGGTTATCATTTCTATTTCCACTTTTCCTGGGTGGCCTTCGATCCTTTCTTGTTACCAGCATCCATGGTCCAAATCTGTCCTTAAGGTGAGCCTTGGATGGATTCTCTTGTGGGATTTCAGCTTGCTTCTGTGAGTTGTCCTCCATGTTTTCTTTAGGTGCATCGTCCTGCATGGACTCGTTGTTAGGCTTCGGCTGTTGCTGGACGCCTTGGCCGCAAGCATCAACTCTATGGCCATATTTTCCACATTTGAAGCAAATTAGATGGATACCCTCATACTCGATTGGGTATTCTTCATCTTCGATGGTGAATTTGGCCAGCAACTGTTTAGTTATGTCTATTTCTACGCAGATTCGGGCGAATTTCCCTCGCGACGCAAGACAGGTCGTATCATCAATCTTAATGGTTTTTCCGATTTTGTCGCCAAGCTTCATCAATGTCTCCTCGTCGAAGTATTCGATCGGTATGTCTGGGAGCCGAACCCAAACGCATATCTTCCGGGTTTTGTTTGTCTGAGGCCTAAAGTTTGGCTTCCACTGTTGGACAACCACATAACGATCTTGAATTATCCACGGCCCCTCACATCTTGCTATATCATAATCCCTTTGCGATTCAAATCGAGCCAAGAAGTAGTCATGTTCCAGATCGATGAGCTCCAATTGACCTTCTGGTTTCCATAGGGAGCGAAGTCTACGCATCAAGAAATTATAACCAATCGCCTTCCCCATGAGTTGTATGATTAGTGTTCTTCGCCATGGTCTCCTAATCCTAACCTTCTCCTCCTTTGATAGCCTAATTCTTGGGCATTCCGGGTCGTCTTGGTCCTCTGAACCCTCATCATCGCTGGTATCCTCTTCTAGGCCTTCAAGCTCGCCCTTCTTATATATCATAAATTGCCGCAGACTCAACTTGTAGCTCGCCGGCAGTGGTGGAATCGAGGGTTCCGGTTGCTTGTTCTTGCCCTCCATATCCATCATGTCTGGGCCTAGTTCTTCATTGAAGCTTGTGTTCGTCGGAAATTGGGCGTCTGGGGTTGCATTTTCCTGTGGAGTTGCCGATGGCGTACCTATCTGATCTCTGGATCTCTTCGTCTTCTTGCTTAATCTATTGCTTGATTCAGGCATGGTCGCCGTTGGTAGGGTGGTTTCAAGTAGCGTTTCCGCTAGCATTCTTGGAGCATTCTTAATCGCGAGTTGGCATAAGTAGAATGGCCACTGTGCGGTGATATGTTAATATAGGTAAAATTTATTGTTCTAGGTGACAAATGTAATTTCGCAAATTAGTTACACATTACTTCATCAACATTTTTTAATTATTTTTTCCCAACATCATTGACATGAACTTTTGTGCATGATTGACCAATAAATCATATAAAAACCAAGCCAAAATTATGATGAAAAATGACACCCAAATCTGCTTGGATATTTGTGTGAATATCTTATCTCCCTACTCATACTGACGTGGAAACAAGTCATCACCAAATCCACAATCGAATATCCGCCCTAAATTCTGCATAATTCTAAATTTAAAATTTCAATTTCAATTTGAAGGTGCTTCGCTAAAAAAAAAAAAAAAAAAAAAAAAAAAAAAAAAAAAAAAAAAAACCAATTCTGGATATCTGGTTTACGAGAAAATTTCAATTTTGATCATATGACTATAGGGGTCTTGTTAATTTCAGTTCTTGACTTTTAAAAGTGTCAAGCAATTTTTGTTAATTTTAGTCACTCCGGTCAAATTGCAGACCAAATTTTGCCGAAAAAAATTAATAATTAAAATAATGAGGGTATTTTATTCGTTTCACACCTTTTTTCTTCTTCTCCGGCGAGTCCATCCCTTCTGGCATGAATTTATCTTCCTTTACATAACTGTCTGGCATGATAATTAATTTTCAAATTTATGAGGAAGTATTTTATCACATTTGAAGTTTTATGTATAACGAACATTATTAATTTTTGCCAAGACCTTGTGGTCTAATGTCACCAAGGTTCTCATGTGGGAGGTCGTGGGTTTGAGCATTAGTGGATGCGGCATTGACTTAAGAAAGTAATTATGAACAGATACTACATTGTAATAGAGCAATTTGAAATATTAAAAAGAGTTAATTCCCAAAATGGTCCTCTGACTATGGCCTTTTCTCAAATTGATTATTTGACGTTTAAGTTGCGTTTGGAAACTCGGAAAATGTTTTTCGAGTTTTTAGTGTTTGGAAAAAGAGGGGAAAATGATGCATTAGTCAAATGAAAATAGGTATGTTTTAGGGAAAATGACTTCCTTTTTTTTTATTTTATTTTCCAGTCGTTATATCGTGCACCGCGGTGCATAATTGATTATGCACCGCGCGTCAAAACGGCATCGTCTCTGCAGTTATAACTGAGTGACACTACAGTGTGTCTAAACCGACATTGTTTCACGTATTATTTTTATATTATCAAATGAAACTGCAGTTATATCAAAATGATACTGTAGTTGTGGTGAAATGAAACTACAGTATATATAAAATGAAACTGAATAACATTTCACATATTTGAGTGTATATTATACAATGAAGTTGTAATTATATCGAAATGATCATGTAGTTGTGTTTTAATGAAACTATAGTGTATATAAAATAAAATTAAATAACATTTTCACATATTTGAGTGTATAAATATTGAATGAAACTATAGTTATATCGAAATGAAACTGTAATTGTGTTGAATTGAAACTGCAGTGTATACAAAATGAAACTGAAGAACAGAGTTATTTTTTGCGAATATTCTATTTATTTTCATTAAACAAAACGACCATCATTTTGTTGTGCGATGCATGATCGATCATGCACCGCGGTGCACGATATAATTTGCGCATTTTTTTGGAAGTCATTCTTCAAGGGATGCATATGCAAAAATTTTTGGGCCTAATTTTTTGCGAGCGTTTGCGAGTCGGCCAACCAAACCTGTAGGCTAGGGTTCATCCTACTAAAGCCCACCCCATGCGGGTTGGCGGGCCCCACGAACTGGTCCGCGAACTTTTTTTTTAAATTCAAATTTCAAATAAATAAGTAAAGTTTACAAATAATATTATTTTTTTCATATTTAAAAATTTTTAAAAAATTACATATTTTATAATGTTAATATATATATATATATATATATATATATATATATCAAAAGAGTGTTATTCACAAAAGAATTATATCAAAAGTATCAAACAATTAAACTTTTGAAATATTCAATTCTTTTCATTTTCCTACTCATTTTCTAGAAAATGAACCAAACAAACAAACAGGGGCGAACCTACAATGGAGGCAGTGGGGGCAGCTGCCCCCACTCACCCCACCCCCACCCCCACCCCATATATAACTCTTGTATGTATATATAGTACCAGGTTTAAGTATATTTATAATAAAACAACTAATATTAACAAAAGAAATGTTAGCATAGATGGTAGGACATTTGTGTAAATTTGAGAGAGGTTAGTGGTTCAATTCTAATCTAATAAGATAATGTGTTTTCTATTAGAATTATTTTATCAAATTAATTATATTTCATATTTTGTTATAAATATTTTTGTTCGCTCATATCTAACAATGTTTATGGCTAATTTCTTAAGAATTATTTTATCAAATTAATTATATTTCATATTTTGTTATAAATATTTTTGTTCGCTCATATCTAACAATGTTTATGGCTAATTTCTTAATTATTTCATATTTTTTTAAGCTATCCCTTTTGTTTTAATGTTTCGCCCCCACTGAACAAAATTTCTGGGTCCGCCACTGCACACAAAGACAATTTTTCATTGTGTAGCCAAACAACGAAAAGAAAAATATTTTCATTTTCCAAAAGTCATTTTTCTATTTTCGAAACGAAGCCTTAATTGCACCCAAAGTAGTCTTGATTATTAAATTTTAGATCAAAATAGTTATTCATTAATTTTGATGTTAAAATGAGGGACAAAATTAGTAATTCAGAATTTTCACTTAAATTTAAAGTAATTTATGGAATAAATCGGGTGACGGCTGCGCAAAATAGGAATACATACGTCGCAATTTTTGTGGAAGAAATCGGGTGACGGCTGCGGAAAATAGGAATACATACGTCGCAGTTTTTGTGGAAGAAATCGGCTGACGGCTGCGGAAAATAGCAATTAGGTTTATATTAGGGTGTTGCTATTTGCACCACCCATTGACTAAAATGAGGTATAAAGCACTTTGAAAATGTAAAAAGGTAGTAAATATGGGTGGTGCAAATAGCCTAATGGGTGGTCAAAATGCTATTTGCACCACCCTATTAAATGTACAATTATGAGGTCAAAATGTAATTTAAAAAAAAAAAAAAACGGAGCAGCCATCGCCTTCTCCGGTGAGAAGGCGACGGACTGCCTTCTCCGGTGAGAAGGCAGCCCAGTGGGTCGCCTTCTCGCCGGAGAAGGCAGCCCAGTTGCCTTCTCCGGTGAGAAGGCAGTCCTTCTCACCGGAGAAGGCGATCATTTTTTTTTTTTTTTTTAATGTTTATTGTTAAAAAATAATAAATAATAAAACACCATCTATTTGACCTATTAAATAGGTGGGTGCAAATAGTAAATAGGGTGGTGCAAATAGAACTTTCCTTATATTATTTGGGAAAATATTTTCACCAATTTGATTTGAGGAAGTAGTCGGCTGTAGAATTAACTCTAAACAAAAAAAATAATAATAATAAAAATAAAAATCTTTCGCCCTACCTTACGCAAACCTCATCCTACCTAACTGGATGTTTTGTTTTGTTTTTTTTTTTTTTTTTAATTATTTTATATGTATAGACTTTTTAATATTAGAAGAAACTTAGAAACCCAACACAGGGTTTTGGCTGTTTCATCAGATCTAATGGGGCTCCATCTTCATTCACTGCCAATCCACACTTCCAAATCCATTCCTGTCACTATAAATTCTCCAATTCCTACGCCCTTTCGCACATTCATTCCTCCGTTGAACCCTATTCCGTCTAGAACTAAGCGATCAAACACTCCGCCGCTCTTCTCTGCTCCATCCCATTGTCCAATCTTTGCTTACAAAGTAGGTATCTTGATCATTTCATGCGTGTGGGTAATCTCAATTGCTTCTTAGTTAATAAAAGTTCCGGCTTTTTGCAGGGTAGTGGGGTTGAATTCGATAAGTTAGAATCGGCCATGACGATCACGCCGGCGGTGAGAATCAGTGACGGAAAGTTGGTGGTGGAGGACCGTGTAATACTTACAAATGTGCCGGAAAATGTGGTTGTCACTTCCGGGTCGGACTCCGGTCCGGTGGAGGGTATGTTTGTTGGAGCAGTGTTTGATGAGAAAAGCAGCCGCCATGTGGTCTCGTTGGGGACTCTCCGGGAGGTTCGGTTCATGGCCTGTTTCCGGTTTAAGCTATGGTGGATGTCCCAAATGATGGGAGATAAGGGGCGTGACATTCCGCATGAAACCCAGTTTTTAATCTTGGAAACCAAAAATGGGTCTCAGCTGGGCGGCGCCGCCGGCGGCGGCGGCGATGAGAACAAAGTAATCTACACCGTTTTCCTTCCGTTAATCGAACACCCATTCCGAGCGTGTCTTCAGGGGAATTCTCGGGACGAGCTGGAGCTCTGCCTCGAGAGCGGCGATTCGGCTACTCTCGGGTCGGATTTTACCCACTCCGTCTACATCCACGCCGGAACTGACCCGTTCGCCACCATCACGGCGGCGGTGAACACGGTCAAGACACATCTCAAGACTTTCCGGCAACGGCACGAGAAGAAGCTACCGGGATTCGTTGATTGGTTCGGCTGGTGCACTTGGGATGCCTTTTACCAGGAGGTTACACAAGAAGGCGTGGAAGCCGGCCTCAACACCCTCGCCGCCGGCGGGATTCCTCCGAAGTTCATCATCATCGACGACGGGTGGCAATCAGTCGGCAGCGACCCAAAGGAGGAATCCGGCGAGGAGAAGCCTCTAATGAGGCTCACCGCCATTAAAGAAAACTCAAAATTCCAAACCATCGAAGACCCAACTTTAGGAATCAAAAACATAGTAAACTTCGCCAAACAAAAACATGGCGTCAAATACGTATACGTATGGCACGCCATTACAGGGTACTGGGGAGGGGTCCGACCCGGGGAGAAGGGAATGGAACAATACGGATCAATCTTGAAGTACCCAGATATTTCCAAAGGGGTTATGGAGAACGAACCTTCATGGAAAACGGATCCACTTGCGGTTCATGGTTTGGGTCTGATGAACCCGAGAAGTGTGTACAAGTTCTATGATGACTTCCATAGCTACTTAGCTTCAGCTGGGGTGGATGGCCTAAAGGTGGATGTGCAGTCCATATTGGAGACTCTTGGCGCTGGGCATGGCGGGCGGGTGGAGATCACCCAGCAATACCACCAAGCTCTTGACGCCTCTGTTGCTAAAAACTTCCCTGATAATGGCTGCATTGCTTGTATGAGCCACAACACAGATGCACTTTACTGGTATGAATTTCTTTAGCCATCTTTGATGCTCAATTCAACTTAAGGGTGTTTGGTAAATGGTTGTTAGCTGATAGCGGTTACTTATTGGGTTACTAGTTGATAGCATTAGCTGATTATAGAAAAGTGTTTGGTAAATTAGCTCGTTAGATGTTAGCTGATTACATACAAAATGACTTTCTCTTAAAAAGCTGATAAAAAAAGTTATTTTGAGCAGTTTTTTAAATTTTAGCGTTTTGGAGCAATTTATAAATTGTTACAAAAAGCGAATCAACCAAACACTCATATTGATTGTTTAACCAAGTCAAACACCTAATAGTAGTCAAATAAGACAAATTTGGCTGATAGATTAACTATTTTACCAAACAGGGCCTTAGTGTTAATGATACTGTTGGGCGAGGCCCAAGGCCAAGTCTAGCACCAGGTGGCTATGAGATTGTTAGGTAGAGGGATGAAAGGTGCTAGATTTAGCACCTTGTCTCTCGAAGTGGTATCAAAGTCAAGTTAGGGAAAAATTGTTGGGCGAAGGCCGTAAGGGTCAAGTCCAGCACAAGTGGCTAGGAGGATTATTGGGCGGAGGCCTGAACCTGAAGGGCCAGTCCATCACCCAACCTCTAAAAAATGTGGCAGTATAAGGAAATAAAGTTCAGTCTTCGTTATTAGTTATAAACTTATAATTTTTGGCATAATGGTAAACGCTTGATCCTAACAGAAACTAGTTTAAGGTTGATTTTGATATATTTGTAATGATTATTATATTTGGTTCTATGTTGAGTAAATGGCTGATCATAAAGTTCCTTCCTTTTTTCTTGAAAGTAAATGTTTTGGTATTCAATTCAACTATGCAGCAGCAATTTGAAACCGAGTTGGGGATTAAGTGTGTGTTAAATTGATGTTCTTTGTATGGATTGTTATGGAGTAGCTCAAAGCAAACGGCTGTGATCAGAGCGTGCGACGATTTCTACCCACGCGATCCAATATCGCACACAATCCACATTTCTGCAGTTGCATACAACAGTGTCTTCCTTGGAGAGTTTATGCAGCCTGATTGGGACATGTTTCACTCCCTGCATCTAGCTGCAGAGTATCATGGCTCAGTAAGGGCTCTTAGCGGTGGACCGGTCTATGTTAGGTGACTAATGTTATATCTCTGCTGTCGATTATGCATTTACATAAGAAACTACAAAGTGGTTAATGTTGTATGAATTCTTGTATGAAACAGTGATGCACCCGGGAAACACGATTTTGAGCTCCTAAGGAAGCTTGTTCTCCCCGATGGTTCAATTCTTAGAGCTCGTTTGCCTGGCCGCCCTACAAAGGATTGCCTTTTCTCTGACCCTTCTCGAGATGGTGTTAGGTGAGCATTGCTATTCTTGAAACTGCTTGTTAGCTGGAACCGTGGTGCAAAAAATTAAATTTACAACTCAAGAATTGAAGCATGTGTTCCATCTCAACTAAAAGCTTAAGCTGATTACTTTTTCGAACCCATTACCTTTGATCTGACTCTGATATCAAATTGAAGCATCTGATACCAAATTGAATTGAAGCAGCTGATAGTGAGATTGCACATTAATGGTTATATGCTCAACATCGAGAACTCATAATTATTATGTTCGTGTAATGTAATTTCAGCCTCTTGAAGATTTGGAACGTGAACAAATACACCGGGGTGCTTGGAGTATACAACTGCCAAGGCGCAGCGTGGAACGCAGTTGAGAGGAAGAACACGTTCCACCGAACTGGAACCGAGGCATTAACGGGATATGTTAGGGGCGGTGATGTTCATAGCCTCTCTGAAGTTGCGTTGGACTCGAACTGGAGCGGAGACTCTGCTGTATACTCTCACAACCAACGCAAACTCACCGCCCTTCCGTACAATGCTGCAATGCCCATTTCCTTGAAAATCCTCGAGCACGACATTTTCACCATCACACCTATCAAGGTCTTGGCACCGGGCTTCAGCTTTGCACCGTTGGGGCTCGTTGACATGTTCAATGCAGGTGGAGCAATTGAGGGACTCAAGTATGAAACGAAGGCCGGTTTCCAAGGCGAAGATAAAATCAAGAACTCGAGCACAGAACCTGTGGGTGTAGTTTCTATTGAGGTTAGGGGTTGTGGCAGATTTGGTGCTTACTCATCTGCGAAACCAAGAAAGTGCAGATTGGGAGGAAATGTGGTCGATTTTACGTACGATTTGGATTCGGGTTTGGTGACCTTAAACTTGGATGACATGCCTGCAAAAGAACAGAGAGTTCACATGATTGAGGTTGAATTATAAGATGCTAAATTCTTCTTCAGATTATTTGGGGATGAGAATTGAAGATTCAAGTGACTTTCCTCTCTCCCAGGATTGTTTTCCACTATGGATGAAAACGATGAATGAGAATATGAGATTGTATTAGAACATTTATCTAATCTCAAGCTGAAAAATTACTTCAATGAAATCAATCCTGCTTAAAATCTTCTGCTTCCTCATATTCGAGCAAGAGCTCTTTGGACGAAAGAACATCATTTATCAAATTGCAATCAAGGGTGTTGATAAATTTTGAATGTTTATTACATTCTCAATTTGTAAGCTAATCTAAACATTGAAATATTGAATGGTAATCAATTGTGTTGTAATGTTGTTTGTGCCCGTTGGCCTTTAGCTCCTATCCTAACCGGTGGGTTGTAGCATTTGTATCAATAATATAAAAGATAAAAGTAAAATATAGAACAAGAAATATGGGTGAAAGAGGAGTAAGGATTCCATTATATCAACTCATCATTTGAGTACAAGGAAGAGATATATATAATACATTTGTAACGGATGATGAGTACAAGGAAGAGATATATATAATACATTTGTAACGGAAAGCAGTAAATGATAGATATAAATATGAGCGTTACAACTGTTACAAAAGCTACTCATAATGTCCACATTATTCATAAATACTTTATAACACTCCCCCTTGGACATATGAGCGTTACAACTGTTACAAAAGCTACTCATAATGTCCACATTATTCATAAATACTTTATAACACTCCCCCTTGGACATTATGATGACCTTGCCTCGTTAAAATACTTGCTAGGAAAACCCTGTGGGAAAAACCTAGACAAGAAAATAGTACAAGGTATATAGATGGTATATTTGAATACATTCATGCCTCGTTAAAAACTTCACTAGGAAAACCACGTGGGAAAAACCTAGTTGAAGAAAAGAGTACATGATATTTGCAGAATCATATATGGTACGGGTTGCCTCATTAAAACCCATAACTTAAGAAAACCCTGTGGGAAAAACTTAGTTAAGGGAAAAAGAGTACAACCGTAAGCCTTCAGGGCATAATCTTCAGGATTTCGGGGTTCGTCTATTTAAGTATTTATATATTTGCAACACCCCAATTGACATTACTATATCATACTCGTGCCTCGTTAAAAACCACACTAGAAAAACCCATTGGGAAAAACCTAGTGAGGAAAAGAGTACATGGTATGTATATGCTACAAAAATTATAATTATTAGTCCTTTTAAGACCCAATCTACAGGATTGATTCGAGTAAATATACACGCTGCAAAAGTGCAACTATTAGTCCTTTTAAGACCCAATCTACAGGATTGATCAATCTACAAGATTGACTCGAGTGAATGTACTTCTCGTCTCCCCCTAAAGATGACAATCTTCAAATTCTACATTTTTTGAAGTAAAATCATTGTTTCAAAAGAGAAGGGATATGGTACAATCTTCAAGATTGTCATTAGAATTTATCAAGGGATGTGGCACAATCTTCAGGATTGTCATTAGATTTTATCATATTTTCTCATGATCATCTGGACCAATAAAAAATTATTTATAGTTTATATTTTGTTGCTCCCCCTAAATATAATAATTTTCTTTACCTACGCATATCAATCTTATGCATATTTTGTAGGTGTACATTTGCTAACTTGTCACTGGAGCAAATCTTTTGGACAAATATTTTATCACTCTTCTGGAGTTTATATCATGAAACCTATATACGTTCATTTGTCCAAGTATGATGACTTCATGTCAAAAAGCATCAATATGAATATTTGTACCTTGACTTGCTATTCCTAATCTCATCGCATAACTTAACAGTCGTTATAACCAAGCGAGAGCATAATAGAGTAATGATGAGATGAAAATGTACAAAGTACATCTATAAGAACAAGTATTATTCTTTAGGCTTAAGATGCTTTAAAGCTTAAATTGATTTATAATATATCAATCCAAGTCATGACATTTAACAGAATGCCAATATTCAAATGACTTCTCGAAAGACATATTTTATACCGTAAGGATATTAATGGATATTATTTAACATCATTTCCTTTTCTTTCCAAGAGAATCACCAAATCGCTTTTTACAAAAAAATACGCGAATTTGGAAATTTTCGGTCTCAAAGAAAAGGTATTCAAAAAATGACGTTTTGAAGCAGCGGACTTCTGGTCCTGAAATATCCTTTTAGGTAAAAATGGTCTTTATCTACTTCGGGAGATTATTTGGACATAGACTAATTAGTATGTGAAATTCCTTTTAAGGAAATGCTCGATCTACCGGTCGAGATAATACTTGATTTTCCATCTCCTTTATTTTACAAATAAGCCCCTTAATAAGTACGTAATGGTACATATTCATTTCTATATTTTCCTTATTTTAAGATGAAATTACTCAATCAATTGCTTCACTATTTTAAGTTAAGTAAAGCATTTGTACTTCAACAACAAACATGTTGTGATATTTACTCTCTTTCATTTTTGAGAATTATAAATCCATCAAGGATTTTCATATAAACATTAGTGTCTAATGACCCATAATTTCTAGGTCATGACTTTAATAAGCTGCATATCTAAATTTATTATTCTGCCAATTATGTAGCGGAACTTTTAATGATATTCATTATGGGAGAGTATATTTGATTATGGGTTTCTGCGTGAACCCGTAGGCTACAGACTCGCTTTATATCTCACCACCTTATCATTCTTGTTTTTCCTTTATACAAACACCATTTGTAACCTACAGGGTTAATACTTCAATGGTGTATAAAAGGATTAGCGAGTTGAGCTATATATACCTTTAATTGCTCTCTTTATATGTTAATCAATCTAGGCGCTTCTGGCACCTAGTTCTGGATCCAGATTGTCATATAATATGAGCAATTTGAAGGCAACTGTGTTGTCGACAACTTATAATATTCTCAAGAATTTCTCCCATATATATATATAAGTAATTAACCAGATTGTAGTCATTTCCCAAGGATATTTATATCTGGTTGTTCCGCAACCCAGTAATATGTATATTTGGTGCACCTTATAAATTTACTGGGTTTTCTTGTCTTCTGGACGATCGTTATAAAGATATAACCTTTTTTTAAAAGATTTTCAAGAGCTCTAAGATTTTCAAGAGTGACATAAATTCTTTATTTTTCTATCACAGTGAATCTCCCGCACTTCTGGCGTCAAGGAGTATCGATAGATATTTATGGTCCAAATTTTGGGGAATATATGTGGGACCTAGTCACTCTTTTTATGAAATAGATTTATTTGGCAGATATGTTTGATTTCTTTCTGAACTTCCAGTTCAGTCTAATTGGTACTTGGATTTAATATTTGAAGATCATTTAATGAAATTTCTCGGCATTCCATTTCAATTTTGATCATATCTCCCCCTAATGTCGTGAACTGATCTTCATGCAGTCAGCATATCCATCGCGTCTCTCTCAGGGGCTTTAAATATTGGAGACAACAGATGGAGGTTTAGATGGATACGTTATGGTGGTTATGTAATAGATTGGACTGCATTTATAAGAATAGAAACGCAGATTTGGGAAATGTTTGTTTGAAAACCACATATTAGATGTAAGGGGGAACATGGATATGCAGTGTGCCGAAATTTTTAGCATAAATATTGCATTTCCCCACCAAGTATCCGGCACATTGAAATTTTGAAAAATAATGGTTTATTAATAAGCCATAACTTTATTAATTAGCTAAACCATTTGGGTATGAGCATAAGGTACTTGATACTCCGCCTTAATTCTTAATGTCATATAATAATCGTCGAAAAAGTGGACGAAGTTCATAGGATAATCCGAAAATTAGGCATTATCCATAAGATACTAGATCATATCCTTTAGATTATGAAGAACGAGTAACATATGTCTACTCACCAGATGAAGGATAATTGATCAAAGTAGGATATTTGATCAAAGTAGGATATTTGATCGAATGAAGGCATTTCAATTTTAAAAAATTGATGGAGTAAAAGTGAAGCTCTACCGGAACCCACAAAGGAAACCTTATCAATAATTGCAGGAAGAAGTTAGATGTTTGTATAAAGATCTTCCAAAATAAGACATCACTGAAATGATGTTGAATGAAAAAGTAGGTCATCAATATAACCAACAAGAGCGTTTGCTTCAGGCAAGGCAACTTGATTGGATTCAACATTGTGATGTTCATTTAGGTTTCAACAAAATGCTTCGGGATGTGGCACGCACGTGATCGGTGCCTTTTTAACCAACAATTGAAGCATATTTGCTATTGGGCCAAAATTATGATCGTATGAAGCAACGTTCTTTTCATTAAGGGTATATGAGTGCTTTTTTATTTTTATTTTTAAACAAGTACCCTTAGGTAGTATGAGTGACGCTCTTCTGGAGCCCACAATAGAAAACATTTATCAAATGGAAGGAAGAAGTTAGACCTTTGAGATTTCTAACTCTAGATGTAGCAACATACAATTGACCTTTAAAGACCAAAATCACAATCTTAGTTCGAACATTGATTTTTTCTTCCAAATACTATCGAATTAAGTGTGTAATCAATAAAAGATGAGAACTAATAATTCGAGAATATAATCTTAATGTTACTAAGCCTACTTCACGTCAATTAAGTTGGAGAGTGTTGTTGGATAGTGTCCGATGAATCCACGAATACGCATCTTTGTCTCCGTAGTCCTCAATATGCACATCAACAATCTTAAATATTAGGCCGCCTAGCTATGCCATATATTAATTTCAAACTTATGAACTTTGGGCTTGCATGCAAAGAAAAATATATTTTAAATATACTAAGGGTACATTATATATGTATGTAAGGTACTTTCAATATAAAAATAATGTATTTTTAATATATTAAAAATGTATTTGATATTCATGATCCATACAATTATGTGGACCATCGTTCACACAATAATTTGTCAGTAGAAATTGAAATATAAATAAATAAATAAATAAATAAATAAATAAATATATATATATATATATATATATATATATATATATATATATTAGAAACTGTCAGTGAAAATATTATCATTATTATTATTGCAATTATTATTTTTATTGTTATTGTTATTATAATTAACAATATTATTATGGTCTTGTGAAAATTAAATGTTGATTATAATTAACAATATTATTATGGTCTTGTTAAAATTAAATGTTGATTATCACCATTTAATTTTCAC